TGATGAACTGGACCTACACTCAGAGCAGCAGTTAATACCAACAGAGAGGGAAAGTCTTCACATCAACTATCAATGCTATCCCCTCTGTACACAGGGTAGATAGGGATGGGCAACTTAGACATTGGTTACCTAAAATGAGGGGCAATAAAGTGACTGGCTTACAAGGTTTCAAGAGGGAGTTTAGTTTAAGAGTATGGGGGGAAAGAGTCCCCATTGAATAGCTGTCATCTTGTCTAGATGGGTCTGGTGAAAAGAGATGAGGATAAGATTCGTAAAATTCAATAGTGAATAATTGTTATCATGATTAATTGTGACTGTCACAATTGTAAAGGTAGAAAGTTTTGTAACAAAAAAAGGCGAGTGGTTAATCTTACAGTCCAGAAACAGAGGCCCCTAGCACCATCAAGAGAGAAACGCACAAGCAGAACGCGGGACCTTATCCAGAGAAGCAGCAGCACCAGAGATGGGGACATGGAGAGGGGGAGTGCCTGAGGACTCTAGATTCATGGAGTAAGAAGAGAGGGATTAAGAGCTGGTGGTCAGGAGCAGACTTGCAGAATGTGCCCTTTGGAGACGTAAATTATTATATATGCCTGAGTGGTTTTTACGTTTGTTTGTTTGTTTTTAAAAAAGCTAAAGTGGATAGAGAGAAATACTGCTAACTGATGGTGCATGGAGGGGATTATAATCAATGTAATGAAACAAGGTATATGATTTGTTGAATTGTAAAACTGATGATATGTCCTGTAAACTTTCACTCAATCCACAATAAAAACCTTTAAAAAAAAAACAAAACAAAAAACAGGCAAAGGAAAGGAAAGAACTGTTTCACATAGACAAGCAGGTGGCAAGGCTATGTGCAAAATTTATCTAGACCCCTCCTATCCAGAACATGAGTGTAAGGCACATGTGTTCAAGACAGTGAAACTACTCTACAATCACCTCTTTCAATTCCACAACTGATTAAACTCAAACCAAATGTCTGACATCACATGTCAATACTAACTGAACTGAACTATAAAACTTTAAAGCCTTAAAGTGCTTGAACTGTGATGACAGGGGGACAGTTTGCAATTAAGACCGCACTGTGTTTGTCCTGAGGTCGTTTCTTGTGTG